TCCCTTCAGTACCATGGAGAGTGCAGTGGGCTACCAGAGGAGCCACTTTGGCCACCTCGGTACCATAGAAAGAGCTAGAAGTCCTAGAGGGGCCACATTTGCCATTTTAGCACCACAGATAAAGCACTGAGAAAAGCTGGAGGATTTTTTTTAAATTCCTATCTGGGAACCACGGGGGGGGGGGGGGGGAGAACTGTGGTACCAGAGGGATTATTTTGGCCTTTTAGATGTCACTGAAAATAGATAAATGTAATAGAAAATAGATGTAACTAGAAGAATTTTAATTAGCTATAAGGAGTGTCCTGACAGTTACAGTTTGTACATCCTGGAATGAGTTACTGAGGCATCGTATTTGGGTCCATCACATTCTGTTGCTCTCCTGGGGATTCCCGGAACATCCTGGTGTACAGCCAATCTGGTATATTCAGAGGAAGCAGATGGTGGGGGAGGAGGGGGGAGGCTGGGAATACTGCATGGTCATAGCTGACTAACCTATGGGCACATATTCTGATTCTGAGAAGATTCTAGGGCCCCTAAAACTGCCTGTAGGACAGCAAGCAAAATACCTCACGGGAGGCTGACCTCACATATGAAGCTAGTAGAGTAGGAACAGGGCAAAGCGTCCTCCGCCAAAACAAAACAAAAACAAAAGAACTACTTTGCACATAGCATTTTCCAGGATGAAAAAAAGTGATATACAAGGAGGCCTAAATTGAAGCTGAATTCCCAAGCAGGGAAAGTTTCCCTAGAGGGTAGCCTCAAACCAACAAAACCCACTTAGACACCTTCCCAGGCCCAGTCAAGACCTCCTGAATCATCTCCACACCAAAGGAGGCCCCACGCACCTGATCCCATGAGTGTTTTGTTTTGTTTTGTTTTGTTTTGTTTTCAACAGGAGAGAGCACCCACAGGGTCCAAGATCTATGAACTGGCTTGGACCCCACAGCATGCATGTATTGCCTGTGGGCAATAATCACAGAGTTTTCTAGAGTTAGGCCCTAAACACCATCCACGAGACTTGGCCAGACAGTAGTAATGACCTACTTTCCACCCCCACCGGGAATCAGGGGTTATCTGGTCCTTCTTTGGGTCCTATAGGGATACAGAGCCAGGGATAGGGATCGGAAATCGTTCCAAAGCAACTGGCCAATTATTTTTATGTGCTAGAAAAGCTGGCGGGGAAGGGGATGTGGACCGTCAAATCTTACTGCGTTAGGGAGGGCTGGAAGGGTTGGTGAGAAGACTTAGAAATAAGGACGGGTACACAGAAGCATCTGCTGCCTGAAGGACCTCAAAGATTGTCCCTCAAACCTGTGGTTCAAAAGTTTTTAGGGTCAAAGTGTAAGGGGCAAGGATTCAGGACTTCTGAGGTACAGTTGTGGCTAAGCCTCTGTCACTGGTCATTTCTAATACTTGATGTTCTTCCCTCTGTTAAGAATCCCACACCTCGGAAGTCGGCTACCAATTACAATTAACGCTGCACAAGATGAGGTAAGAAAGAAAGGGGGCTTCTTAGGTGGTCTAGAGTCAAGACCACTTTTATCACAAGCACGTGTCAGTAGCTCACTTTTATGGTCTCCTCTCCATGGCCCTCTGAACCTCACTGCTCAGGGAGTTCCTCTAAACTGACCCCACATCACAGCATGTCCATCTTTTACACTGAGTTCTTGGTAAAGCCTCCTTCCCTCCATCCTCACTGTCCTGATTTGGGGGCACGGCACCTCAGTCACTGACTCCAAATGTGCAGCAGGAGACAAGTGGAAGATACACCTGCTGACCTACTGCCACCCCACCATGGTGGATCTTATTCCACAGGCATGTCCCAACTTGACCCCTCTTCTGAAAGTTCTAGAGGACCTTGATTTGGGGGAGGGGGCACGGCACCAGCCTTAAGTCCCCTTAACTGGAGCTGACCCTAGAAAGGTCAGAGTCTTAGCACCCATATGAGCCTCAGTCCTCAGATTAGGGGGTGGGGGGTGGGCAGGAGAGCCTCTAGGAAAATCTCCCTCCCAGAAGTAGGTTGGCAAGTAGGGCAGGACCTGTGATCCTGCACAAGAGATTCTTCCAGCAGCACCCCAGTCCCCTCCCGGGGAAGATAAGCTAGAAGGATGATGGGGGGCAGGGTTGGGAGATTGGGAGGCCAGGGCTCAGCTACCCCGGCCGGGAGAACAAAAGCTGAGTTGCAGCCGCCTCCGCCGCTGCCGCCGGCCGAGCTCTTTGTGACACTTTGTTTGGGACGCAGAGAGGGAAGCACCCCCCATCCTCTCCCCTCCCCCACCCCCGCTCCGGGAGAGTTTGGGTCCCTTCCCCCTCTTCTATCAGCCCTACCTGAGCCGGGGGGCGCTCATCCACTCTGGCTCCCGGCTCGGCCGCCCTGCACCCCCAGGCCCCTCGCGCCCTGCCTTCGGGCCCCTACAAAGACGTCCGCGCCCCCCCCCACCCGCTGGCCTTTCCCCTTTGGTGTCCGCTTTCCAGGCTCCCCCACCTGGCCCCCCCTCCCTCGAGGCCCCCCAGCTCTCTCGGCTCCCGAGGCCGCCGCCCCCACCCCGCCCCCCCAGGAGCTCTGGGCGAAGTTTGCTTGGGGCCGAGCCGGCGCCCCTCCCCCGCCCCCGCCCCCTGCACCTGCTCCGAGCCGGGCGCGCGGAGCGGGCCCCCCCTCCGGGTGGGGGGGAGGGGGCCGGGGGCGGGGGCCGGGTGGCGGAGGGGGGGGGCCGGGAGTGGGGGGAGCGGCTACTCACGAGCCCCGGGCGGGCGGCGGCGGAGCGGGCGGCGGCGGCGGCGGCGGCGGCGGGCGGCGGGCCGGCGGCGCGGGCGTCAGCGTTACGTGGGGCCGGGGGAGATGCGCCGGGCCCCGGCCCCCCCCGCCCCCGGCCCGGCCCCCGCCCCCTCCCCGGTCCCCCGCCCCCGGCCCTGGCCCGCATTGTGTGCGGCGGGAGGCGGCCCGGCCATTAGCATGCGGGGGGCGGCGCGGCGGGGCTGGGAGCCGCGCGGGAGCGGGAGCGGGGCTCTGGCTCCGGGGACAGGGAGCTAGGGACCCCGGGAGCCGCGAGAGGCGGCCGCCAGGGGCGGGGTACGGGCAGTTTGGAGACGGGGGGCGCTGTCGGAGGGAGGGAGGGAGTGAGCGGGGGTGGGACGCACAGACGATTCCAACAGGAGACTGGAAGAGATTTTGAAAGGTCATCTCGTCCTTCCCCCAGCCTCCAAGCCGGACTGCCCCTCCCACCCTAAACCCGGACATACCAGGGAAGGAGTTGGCTCTGCCGCTCTTTCTGCCCCAACATGCACAGACTCGGGAAGTTCTTCCTGGGGTTTTATCTCAAAGCCTCTCCCTTACAATTTCTGTCTCTCTTTTTGGGGAGGAGGAGGAGGGGCGATAATAGAGATAGTTAATGTCTGCCGTATAAGAAACATTATTAAAGTTACTCTTCGGTCCTTTCTGTTCTTGATAAACAAATCCTACTCCTTCCTCTCGAATTCTCTTTTCCATTCCCTAAGTCACTTTAATGGCTCTTCCATACAACAAATATTTACTAATTGCTTACCGAGTACCAGGCACTATGCTTAGCACTGTGGGGGATGAGCAGATGAGGGGCTTGTAGTACCCTCCCATGAGCAGATTGTAATCTAGACAGGGGCTACAAATTTGTAAGTAGTATATTCAGATTTAATCAATATTGACGGAATGCCTGTTCATTTATTTAATAGTATAGAATCCTTGCAATAACATTCTGAAATATAATCAGTCTGCATTTACAGGTAAGGAAAATAAAGCTAAAGAGTCTCTTTCCACTGGCCTACCAGCTCAGGGATCCTCAGAGCAAGCCGAACATTTCACATTCTGCCAGGCCATGGCCACCAAATAAAATTAATGCACATGGGGACTGAGGCAGGAGTAGACACACAACTTCTGGAGAAATGTGATTCCCACTCCCCAGGAAAGAAGAGTGGACACAGTGCTCCAATGAGTGTTGGCCCAGCACGAAGCAGGACGGAAGGGTCTTACAAAGGACCACTTGCCTCCCAGGACCCTGCCTGTCAGTACTAACTCCCAGAAGTCTTCTGGCTCAGTCTTCTAATACCTTCAGTAATAATAATGATAATAGTCACTAACAATTATTGAGCACTTAAGTGCTAGGTACCGGGCTGAGCTAGTTCATTGCATTTTCTCTTTTAATACTCAAGGCAACCCCTTGAGTATTGTATTGAGATCAGTATTATTAACTTCCCTTTATAGATAAGGAAACAGAGAGATTAAGCAACTTGCCCTAGGTCACCCCGGTAGATCTTGGATTTGAACATAGGTCTGGTTTTCTCCAGATCTCGGGCTCTGCACCTTTCCTATGTTTGATCCATAGAGTATATATTCGGGCCCAGCTGGTTCTGCTTCTTACTGTAGAAACAGATGTCCCCAGCTTAGCTTCTGAATAAGCCTTTAATATATGGGCATCAGGCACATCAGTGTGACCTCACTGCACCACCGATGGTTATTAAGTGCCCACCGTGAGTCCAACAACCCCTCACAGTCATATTATTAGCCCCGTTTTTATCACTCAGTTTGAACAAACTGAGGTTCAAATAGGTAGAATAATGTATCCAAGGTCACACAGCTGGGAAAGTGACAGAACTGAGATTCTAGTCCAAGTCAGCCTGACTGCAAGGCAACCTGTATCTCTCAAAAATATCCTTTGGTGCGGTAGTGTCCTTCCCAAGACTGACCATTTGAGGACTATTTTCTATACATATCTTGCTGCAAGTTAACACCATAACATTAAAAAATCCCCACTCTAATCTACTTCGTGTCCAATCCAGAGTAAATCCTTCAAGAAAGGAAGAAGAGAGGAGAAACTGTCCAGAAGTGAGAGACAGGAAGCCAGGGGAATTAAACCTTGCCTGGTCTTGAGACAACACTGCAAGTGGTAATGACAGGGGACCAATTCAGACAGTACCATGGGATTTCCCTAGGGAACAGCAGGTAATCTGAGGTGGAAACAAAAAAAGGAGAAAGATTAGACGGAAATGGGGGAAAACTGGGACCCCAGGGTGGTAGTGTCCATTGGGATGAGGTGAGCAATCAGAAGAGGACCCCGGATGGGCAGAGAGGGCGGCAACGGGAAAGAGGGACAGAGCAAGGCAGGGCTGGGCGGTCTTATGGAATGAACTGAGGCTGGTGTCTGCCCATGGCCACTCCCTGGATCCTTAGGCTCTCAATGGGGACCTTTGCCCCACCACACCCGGCCCTGACAGCCTGTCTCTGCCAAAACAAGTTTGTCGTCGTCTGCTCTGAGCTACCGGACCCTGCCAGGAGCTCCAGGCTTGGCTGGGTCCCATCCCTTTGGAGTAGCACCTTCAGACTAGGTAGGTCTGAGGCCCTGAGCCTCAACTCCCTGGATTTTGGAAGTGGGCAAAGGGACAGCGGAAAGAGATGTTTCTGCATGTCCTATCCCCTGATAGGTGCCATAATGCATTTCTCCCAGCCTAGGAAGCACTGAACTCCAGTGATCAAGGGAGCCATGGAGGAGAAAGCTGCTCAGTGGGAGCAGAAGAGACCCAAGCTTCGTCTGGAAAAACTACAGCACTGGGCAAGGCACAGGCAGAGTGGGCACCTCTTGGTGCTGGCGGTGAGGCCAGGCTGCCCCACCCCAACCTTCAGCATGTCCAATTGCACCCCAATTCAATTCTATCCGTGTTTAGGGAGCACCTACTCCGTGCCTGAAACTGTGCTAGCCTCTGAGTGGGAGGAGGGTGGAGAAAGCATAGACTAATGAAGCAAGACCCTTAATCCCCAATTAGCTTCCATCGTGTGGGGAAAACACATAGGTAAGTAACCAAACTTGGACATGAGACAGAAAAATTAAATAATATCCCATTCCCTCACTTGCCCTTGGTTGACTACTTTCTGCCAACGTGCATTCCTCCCAATTGCTGATCTCTGTATCCCCTTCAACTACCCTGTGTCTGGCCTCCAGGTGAGTCAGCTATGGCTGGCAGTGGGCGTGGTGCCCTTTGCTGTCTCCGTTGCCTGCCTGAACTCTGCTTGTCACATGGCCACAGCACTGCCACTTGGGCCTGGAGCATTGGTAAGACCCACCACAAGGAAGGGTGGAAGGAAGGTCCTGGAGGCCCCTCCTTAATGGGGCCAGAGCTCAACACTTGCCTTTCTCACCATTCAGGGTCTCCTCACTGGGATTGTCACCCTTGAGCTGCGCAGAGCACCCCGCCTCTGGAAGGTAGGAGGGGAAGAGAATGCAGCACTGTTCTCCCACCACCACCACCCCCACACACACACATGCACACACGTCCACGCACACAAACCAATCAGCCCAGGAAGTGACTAAATGTTAACTAATCCTTCCAGCTCTCTGCCCCTGACTGGACTCAAAAACTGAGGAGGGAAAGCAAGGAATCAGAGGGCTCATGGCCCTGTTTGGAGGTGGAGGAATAGGAGCTGAGTTTTGTTTTGGGGCTAGGCTGCAGGTGGGGCTTGGGGTGGCAATGAGTCCCCTAGGCTGGGCAGGGCTGAATTGGCTCACTGGCAGGTGCAGGCCATGATGATACTCAACATCTTCAGTCTGATCTTGGGCTTTATCGTGGTGGTGGTCGAGGTGATGAAGACAGCCTTGGGGCCTGCCCCAGCTGCCCCTTCCCAGGTATGGGTGAATAAAGGAGAAGGCGGGAGGATGAGGAGATGAAGAGGGAAAGGGGCAGGGGCAAACAGTTTCCCTGTAGCATCCTCAGCCCTGTCTACCCGCAGCTGGCTGGCTTGCTGGTGGTGGAGCTCAGCACTGAGGCCTTCACCCTAGGGGGAGTGCTGGTCTCTGCATACTCGCTATTCCTGCTGAGCCAGAGGAAGCCAGGATGCTGCAGGAGCCAGAGTCTGCACTACCAGGAGCTCGAGGAGGTATTCAGGGCATGGAGGAAAGTATGGAGCAGTGAGCTAGCAGCTGATTTTTTTACTGGCTATTGTGGTCAGTGGCACTTAAGAGAAAATAATGGGATTAGTGGGGGCGGAGGGAGAGAAGGGGTCGTAGCGGAAACTGGTTTTCTGGTTTTAGACATTTCTTCGGTAGTGTTGAGTAAGAGGGAACTGGGTATCTAAATGGCTGAGACTAAAAATGCGGGAGAGCATTAGGAAGCTGCCTAAATATCGGATGAACTATGGGAACAAGAAAAAATGGAAGAAAAGGAGGAAGTTGTTTCTGTCTGGGATTCCTCCTTTCTCACCCCTACAGTTTGCTCCCCTCACAACTGTCTGGCTTTTAGGGTCTCTCTGAGTTGGAGGAAGTTGCTGCCTTGGAGAATGGTCCTACAGTGGCTAGCACAGCAAATGCAACAAATGAGTGAGCTGGCAAGCGGAGGCAGACAAGTCCTGCTCCACTAACCCGATAGGAGCGTTCTCCAGACCCTCCTGCCCCCACTCCACAGAACTCAGAAGCTAGATGGAGTCCTCTGAGACCTACATGAAGTCCGGAGGAGCGCCTTCAGTTTTCATGCAGACTAGGCCCCTTGCTCTTCCCTTCCCCGCTACCCCTAGCTATACCTGAACCAGAGTCTTCCCTCGCCTCATTGCCCTGGAAAGCTGCCCTCCTGCAGGACATCCTTAAACCAACTTTCAGCTGTACCCCCTTCCTCCCTTCCATCCTTCCCCTCCCTACCCGTCGCCTCCCCATACAGCTTCACATCTGCCTCATCTCACTTATTTCTCTTCTTTCCACCTTTCACAAGCCCATCCGCTCCAAGCCCGGGGTCCCGTACAAGCCCATTCTCGGCAATCAATTCACGGGTGCTTTAGTTTTTCCTCCCTTCGATCCGGTTCCTGTCTACTCTAGCGAAGACTACAAGTCCCGGGCTGCCCCCGCTGCCCCGTGGCCTGATGGGAAATAAAGAGCCTTCCCTCCGGGATGGGGGCGCTGTGCATCGGCTGAGTGACGCGAGGCGCTGGAAGTCGGGGCCTAGCCGAGAGTTTCCTCGGACGCGACCACTGGCCCCGCGTGCGGGGAGGCGCCAGGCGGGTTATCCTGCGCGGGGGCGCCGCCGCCCCACCCACGGCAACGAGAGCTGACTGTGGGGCCACGGGCCTCCCTCTGGCAGCTTCGGGGACGGGCACGGGCTGGGGGCTGGCCCTCGGCAGGGCTGGGTTTCCCAAATGCTGCCGCCGCGCCCCCCCACCCACCCCCAGAGCCCAAATCCAAAGTCCTGAGACTTGGAGCGCGCGCGAGAAAGGGGTTGGAGATGATGAGTCAGAAGCCCGGGGCCCTTGTCGTCCCCCTCCCTCGGGGCCCAGGTGCCGGACGAGGACAGGCTCGCTGGGCAGACGGGTGGACCGGGCAGGAAGAGGAGGGGACGCGGCGACCCGAGCTAAGACTTTCCCGCCTCTTGCGAGCACGCCGGTGTAACGAGCCCGCGTTGCCGCCACCCTTTCTCTCCAAGGCGGGAGCGGGACTGCGCAGGCTCAGCCTCTCGGCTGCGCCGCCGACCCTTGATCCCGGCTGCCGTCTGGTCCTGAAGCTCTGGTTGGGCTCAACCCCCACTGTTTATGACCTTTGCACGTGTGCAAAGATGACAAGCTCGAGTGGGCTTGCGAAAAGCCCAGGAAAACTGGGAGACCCAGTAGCACCAGCCGGGCAGCTTACTAGCCGCTAGAGAAACTAGAAATTGACCACAGCTGGAGTACTAAGAGAACTCACCCCAAATTCACATAGTGCCCGGGATGGGTGTGCGCCTCACACTCATTTTTGTTCCCACTTGAGAAGGCTTCTTTCCCTAGAGAATGCTGCTTCTCCGGACTTAGCCAAGCCCAGGCATCAGTGAGGAAAGAGCGCAGCCTGGCTGCCTTGCCCTGACATTGCAGTGGTGCCCGCGGGAGAGCTCCTGTTTGTGACACCTTGGGAGTGGTAATAGTCGCCCTATGACAAAGTTGTGTGAGTACTAGTGGGTGGAGACAGTTGTGGAATTAGACTCTTGAATAGAGAAAACAAGATCTGGGCCTCCCCCTTCTCCTCCCAGTCTAACTGCCGGAGGAATAATGCAGAGCTTCTGTGTGCAAGACTCGGAAAATAATTTTCTTCAAAGTGAGAAGATGGTGGTGGATAAGGAAATGGGGGTAAAAAAAAAAATCAACAATTCACTCTGTCTTCTAGATAGGATCAACAGCTTTTAGTGATATGATCAGAAATCTAAGAATTGCATTCTAGTTCTTGGAGTTCAGTGACCCTACAAATGAACCTTATCAGTCAGGTTAGGTTAGGCTATGCTTTGTAACAATGCCCAAATCTTTTTTTTACCCCCTTAAGTAAGCTCTGTGACCCACATGGGGATTGAACCCACAACTCTGAGATTAAGAGTCACATGCTCTACCTACTAAGCCAGCCAGGCCCCCCCAACAATGCCCAAATCTTAATGGCTTTAAACCACACATGTTGGTCTCAGCAGTACATGTCTAGTCTGGCAGTGGGCTTTGCTCATTGTAAGTTACTCAGGAACCCAAGCTGATGGAGCTCCACCATTTTGAGATCCTACCTAAATCACCATGAGGCTTAGAGTCCCCACCCCCCACTCCTGTGTGAAGTAAGCATGAATTGTTCATGAGCTCTTCCATGCTTCTGCCTCAACAGAACACATAGCACTTTCATTGGCCAAAGCAAGTCATATAGCCACACCCAACTTCAGGACCGCTAGAAGGGCAATCTTTTCAAATGACTAGAAGAAGGGAAGCAGAAATATTAAAAGAAAAAATGTTAATCATTTGTGGTGATTCTTGAAAAGTTTAGTAATTGGAACTCATCTTTTCCAGCATTTATGCCCATATCTACCTCTTCGGTTTTCCCTGAACCACTAAATGCAGTTGTTAATAGAAACTTTTCCAGGGGCACCTGGGTGGCTCTGTTTGGTTAAGGGTGTGCTTTTGGCTCAGGTCATGATCCCAGGGTCCTGCGATGGAGTCGCGCGTCCGGGCTCCCTGCGAGGTGGGGAGTCTGCTTCTCCCTCTCCCTCTGCCCCTCCCCCTGCTCATGTGCTTGTTCTCTCTCTCACTCTCTCTCAAATAAATAAATAAAGTCTTAAAAAAAAGAAACTTTTCCTTGAAAAATAATAGGACTAGGAGTTGGGAAATTCAGATTCTGGTTTTGTTGTGTAGGTTTGGGCAAGTCAGCCTCTCTGAAGTAGATTTTGCTTACATGGAGATTATAATCATAGTATTTATCCTCTCTACTTTACTGGAGTACCCGGCTAAAATAAAATCATACATGGGAAAATACTTTGAAACTCTAAGGCCACTTCAGAAGTTGAAAATAAATTGCTTACAGAGATGAGGAGTAGTGTAAATGAGTGAAACAGATTGGGTGTGATGTAACAGGGACTGGTGGGAACTGTGGGAAGCTAGAGCACACACATTCTACTTCAAGACTTTACCCCCACTCAACTCCACCCAGTTATTGCCATGTGGGACTGTGGGCCTGGTATTGGCATAGTTCCAATTTTCCTAGACAAGTCAGAAATTCTGACTTTTTAATTAATTATTTTTAAATTTTATTCATTTGAGAGAGCATGAGCTGGGCGATGGGGGGGAGGGGGGAGTGGAGAGGGGCAGAGGGAGAGGGAAAAGAGACTTCCCCACCAAGCAGGGAGTCCCATGTGGCTCAGTCCCAGGACCCTGAGACCATAATCTGAGCTGAAGGCAGACACCTAACTGACTGAGCCACTCAGGGACCTCAGAAATTCTGACTTTTTAAATGTGAACTCTTCTGATTTTAAAATGTTGAGAACAAATTTTTCTTAAACTGTGGACCACATTCAGCCTGTCGCCCTTCAATTATAATCTCTTCCTATTCAAACATATGATAGGAATTCAGGTTTTGAGTGTGCAATACCTCTTGTAGGCCTTTGAGGCCTCTCTTGAAATCCAAGAGTCTTAGAGAGGTTTAACATTACGAACTTAACCTTTTTTTTAAATCAGTATCTCTCTATGGCATTGATTCTCAGGGAGGGGTATTTTGCCCACTAAGGGTTATTTGGCAACGTCTAGAGATATTTTGGCTTGTAACAACTGGGTGTTGGGGGTGGGGTTTATAATGGAAGGAGCATTAGATGATTAGATGACAAGTCAGAAGATCAGAGATTAAGTCCCAGGGCTACTAATGCCCCTTCACTATGCATCGTCCTCCCCCAGCTGCGAGTGAAGGTTGTCTGACACGTCCTGTGATCTTCATTATCTGCCCCCGCCCCTGCCTACTGCCCGAGTCCCTGGACGCTCCGTGAAAGCATTCTGCTCTGCTGCGTGGCTTCCCAGCAACCACCCTTATCTGCCCCTTCATCAGTTTGGCAGCCTCTGTGGAAGTCACTCGTATTATACTTGAATTACGGCCTATTGGAACTTCACAGAAAGAAGTGACTGTGACAAGGTTCCTGCTGACGTCAGTTTTTCAAGGCCTTGACCCCTATCGCTTGCTTTAAGCCCTGGAGAAATATCCGATTCATACGTGGCTTCATGTGCCGCTGAATTCTGTGGTGGTTGGGAAATTCTCCATGCTGATGAATTTTGCCCTCATTTCTTTGAAATTTATTCTGGCCTTGAATACAAGATTATAGGCAACTGACCATATATCTCCCTAATGAAAGATCTGCTTTTGCCAATGGTTCAGGGTTTCTGTCCTGGGCTGTGTCCTCTGCTGCCATCTCGTGGCCTCTCGGCTGCCCCGGTGGAGGTCTCACAAAGAGCCTTTCCACCAGGGAACGGCGTGAGGCAGTGGTTCAGGTGGAGAAGCTCTGCACGCTGCGGCCGCTGCCCAAATGCCTCCCCTGCAGTGGTTCCACCGGGGCCGAGGCGCACGCCGCGTGGCGCGGACCCCGGCCGCGGCCGGCAGGCGGGAGGCGCGGGGACCCCTCCGCGTCGCCCTGGTGGGCCTCTGTCGTGCGGGCCCGGACTTGAGCCACCGACGTCAGTAAACCCAAGGATCCAGGAGTATTCGGAGCCTGGTTGGCCTGCAGCCTCTTGCCAGTGCCACCCAGGCCTGGGATGTTCTTCATCTCAGCGAGAAGAGATTCGCTTGTTGGACTTCTGGATTTCTTTTTCTTGTGTAGGCCCATTTTGCGTTGCTTTGTGTCCACGGCCTTCATCTTGGCTTGCCCAGCCCATGCTTCCTCAAGTTTGATACTTGGTTTTTGGTTTTGTTTTTTTTTTTTTTTTTTGAAGATTTTATTCATTATTTGAGAGAGAGAGAGACAGAGCACGAATGGGGGAGGGGGGGCACAGAGGGAGAAGCAGGCTCCTCGCTGAGCAGGAAGTCCCATCCGGGTCTGGATCCCAGGACCCCGGAATCATGACCCGAGCTGAAGTCAGATGCTTAACAGATTGAGCCACCCAGGCGCCCTCAAGTTCAATATTTGATTGATGGGTTGAGCAGGACAGTTGCCAGTGTGCTCCCGGTGAGGCCATGTTTCCTATAAATACGACAGGATCTGTGCACTGTACTGACCAGAGGTCCCTCTCCAGGGTACAGGGAATCTGGGCTACTGGTGACTGAGCAGTCACTCCGCAAGAGGGGAAGGCAGAAGACATTTTCAGTTGGTGCTAATTTTTTTTCGTTATACTACTGTGTTAAAAACCTTCTAGTTGCCAAAGCAAATTTGTAGAACTGTCCCTTAGTTGTTAGCCCCTCCCATATACTTTCCATATGCTCACCATTTTATGGAGAGCACTGATTGTACCACAACCCCATTACCCCGAACCCCAGAAGAGGAGGAGGACTAGGAGGAGGAAAGAGGAGGAGGAGAAACCACCACCCTTGATGTTTATTTTAACCAGCTTTTCCCTGCATAAAAATTGGGCGGGGTGGGGGGGGAGTTGCCTGGGTGGCTCAGTCAGTTAAGCATCTGCCTTGGGCTTGGGTCATGATCTCAGGGTCCTGGGATTGAGCCCCGCCTAGGGCTCCCTGTTCAGTGAGGGGTCTGCTTCTCCCTCTGCTTCTGCCCCGCCCCGCCCCCCCCCCCCCCCCCCCCCGTGCACTCACTCTCTCTCTCAAATAAATAAATACATAAAATCTTTTTTAAAAATTTCAGAGAGAAGAAATTAATTGTATAATTAATTTCCTAGGGCCTCAGGCTGGGGATAGCTTGCTACTAAGCCTGTGTGTATTGCTTCTCTTTAAAATTCAGATGCTATTTACTTAATGGGAGTTGTCTTCTGTTTCTTCTGTTTTTCCTTCTTTGTATATATCTTTCTGCCTTGTTTCATTTATATATGTATATTTTTAAAGATTTTATTTATTTATTTGACAGAGAGAGAGCACAAACGGGGGAGCGGCAGGCAGAGGGAGAAGGAGAAGCAGGTACCCCGCTGAGCAGGGAGCCGGACGTGGGACTCATTCCCAGGACCCTGGGATCATGACCTGAGCCCAAAGCAGACACTTAACTGACTGAACCACCCAGGTGCCCCTCATTTATATTTTATATTGCATGTTATTCTTGATTCTACTTATCATATGAATCTTTGGTTTATTTTTTTCAGAAACTTTTCCTATGTTCTGCCCAAAGTTAATGAGTTGTCTTCACTGATTCTTGGTTGTTTTTCCTTGCCTTTATAAAGTTTTGTTGTTTGAAATGTTTTCCCCCAAGATATAATTTAATTTGTTTTGCTTCATTATAATTATTTGTTCCCTTTACGTATAAAGAAAATGCTATACACCCACACTTATGCTTTAGATAAAGCTAGAGGACTTAAAGTCATGGCCTAGGAGAAACAGGATTGATGTCTTTATAAATCTCAAAGATAATTATGATGAAGAGAAACTGTTCTTTGTGAACCTAAGAAGCGAAGCTGGGTCCAGTGGTTACTTGTTACAGAGAAGCCAATTTTAGATCAAAAAAGAGAAAAAACTGAACACTTTTCAAAAAATGAGCTGCTTTGGGGCACCTGGGTGGCTCAGTCAGTTGGGTGTCTGCCTTCGGCTCAGATCAAGATCCCAGGGTCCTGGGATCGAGCCCCACATCGGGCTCCTTGCTCAGTGGGGAGACTGCTTCTCCCTCTGCCTGCTCATGCTCTCTCTCCCTCTCTGACAAATAAATAAATAAAAGTCTTAAAAAAAATGATCTGCTTTGAATTTGGCTCTCAACCTCTGGATATGTTAGAGGTGTTCTGTGCTATGTACTTCTGCACTGATAGATTATTGAAGCAACTATTCAAATATCAGCTGAATGATCAGAATAGAGGACTTCTAATTTCTTTTCCAACAGTAGTATTTGGCTTTTCAGCAGGGATAATGTTTTTTAATTGACCCATCCCTACCCTCTCATCAGAATGACTGGCCCTGGGCACAATTGTAAAGTAAGGTGTCAAGTATTCCTCTAGTCCCTAGAACAGAGTTTATCAACCATGGCGCTACTGACTTTTGGGCCAGATAACTCTTTGTTGTGAAAGGCTGTCCTGGGGAATGTTAGAATGCTTCGCAGTAGCCCTGACCTCTAACCACCAGATACCAGTAGCAGCCCTCCCCCAAGTCGTGACAATCAAAAATGTTTCAGACATTGCCAAATGTCCCCTGGGGAGCAAAATAGCCTCCTCCTTGAAAACCAGTCCCTCAGAGAGCTACAATAAGAAAGATTTCATGAACTTAATGTCTAACTTCTCCAAGATTCTTATACTGAAGGAGACCTATAAAGACCTACAAGAACCATATCGCACATCCCAAGCCTGAAATCCTACCCCTATTGTCTGCCTCTTTCTCCCCCTTCTGATTTTTTTTTTCCCCTTCTGAATTTTCTATCTTTTTTTTTCCCTGAATTTTCTTTCTTAACCGGTATTGCTATTTGGTCACACAAGCTGGATGCTAAGCTCTTCTCCCTCATTTCCTGTAGCCAAATGCTCACCATGTTCTATAGATTCTCTTCCTGCTTGAATCAATTTTCTCCACCACCACTGCCCCACGTCAGGCCCTCACCGTCCTTCACCTAGGCCACAGGAAAAGCTTCTGAAAGAATTTCTATGCCTCCAGACTTGTCCTTCTGCTATACGTCTTGCACGTAGCCACGAAAATGTGACCACACGGCTTCCCTGCTTAAAAGCCCTTCAGTGGCTCCCATCACCTATAAGATCAGGTCCAAGTTTTTTATTTATTTTTTAAAAGATTGTATTTTTTTAATTTAAGATTTTATTTGTTTATTTGATAGAGAGAGAAAGCATAAGCAGGGAGAGTGGCACACAGAGGGAGGGGGAGAAGCAGGCTCCCCAGCGAGTAGGTAGCCCAATGTGGCGCTCCATCCCGGGACCCTGAGATCATGACCTGAGCTGAAGGCAGATGCTTAACCAACTGAGCTACCCAGGCGCCCCTTCTCCTGTTAATTTGACTCTTGTCAATTTAATTTGCAAGCTCCAGCTATTAAGCCTAAGAGGATAGAGAAAAGTTTTTTTCTTCCCCTACAATTGAAATTATCATTTATGTGTCCATCTTTGAAGCAAGAACTGTTTTATTCGTCTTTACAGCCCCAGAATTTAGCCAAGTGAATGACATATAGGAAACATCCAATATTTACTGAATAAATTAATAAATAGACTAAGTCAGAAGGAACCTTATTTTTTTAAAGATTTTATTTATTTATTTATTTATTTATTTATTTGAGAGAGAGAGACACAGCATGAGCAGGGGGAGAGACAGAGGAAGAGGGTGAAGCAGACTCCCCACCGAGCAGGGAGCCTAATGCGGGGTTTGATCCCAGGACCCCGGAATCAAGACCCAATCTGAATGCAGACGCTCAACCCACTGAGCCACCCAGGCGCCCCAGAAGGAACCTTAAAAGGCATTCTATGTGACATATAAAGTCCTGTGCAGTCTTTTGCCTTATTCAGTCAGCTAAAACATTAACAATAATGGTGCCACTGGAGAAAATCATTCAAATGTGGCAGCAGCTGCAGCAACAAAGTCATGGTCACAAACTGCAACGAGATCTTGGAGGCTACCCCATAACACTATAACTGGCAGCTCTCAGTTCCCATAGCTGCTACTTCAACTTTTTCACCTTGTTCTCGATAGTTACTGTAAAGTGCATCTGGAAGAATAAACACATGATAAGGAAAGAAAGGAAGGAAGGAAAAGAGGGAGGGTAGGGGGGAGGGAAGGAAGGAAGAAAAAGAAAGAGAAAGAGCCTCTAACAAGAGTAACAAGGTGAGACTTGGTCTATCAGCTATTAATGTATATTATGAAGATGATAAAAAATTAAAACAGTGTGGTATTGGCACAAGAATAGACAGATAGATGAATGGAACAGAAGAGAGTCAAAAATAGAGCTCATGTAGGCATGCCTGGCTGGCTTAGTTGGTTGAGCATGAGACTCTTGATCTTGGGAGTCTTGAGTTCAAGCCCCAAGTTGGGTGTAGAACTTACTTTTTAAAAATTTTGAAAAAGGGGGCGCCTGGGTGGCTCAGTTGGTTAAGCGACTGCCTTTGGCTCAGGTCATGATCCTGGAGTCCCGGGATCGAGTCCCGCATCGGGCTCCCTGCTCGGCAGGGGGTCTGCTTCTCCCTCTGCCCTCTTCCCTCTCGTGCTCTCTGTCTCTCTTTCTCTCCCTCTCAAATAAATACATAAAATCTTTAAAAAAATTTTTTTTTGAAAAAGATGGGGCACCTGGGTGGCTCAGTTGGTTAAGCATCTGCCTTCAGTTCAGGTCTTGATCTTGGGGTCCTGGGATCAAGCTCTGCATCAGGCTCTGTGCTCAGCAGGGAGTCTGCGGGAGATTCTCTCTCCCTTCCCCTCTGCCCCTTCCCCCTGCTCTCTCTCTCTTTCTCTCTCTCTCAAATAAATAAATAAATCTTTTAAAAAGAAAAAAAAATGAAAAGTTAAGGGAGGATGACAGAAAGTGACATATAGCTAAAAGATTGATAGTATTAATATTGAAAAGAATTTAAAAATTGGTAAAGACAAAACAACCAATTTACCAAAAAGAAATAAAGAAATTGAAATGGCCAATAAATCTATGAAAGATGATTTATATTTACAGTAGTTAAATCAATGAAATTTAAAATGATAAGATGCCATTTTGTGCCAATCACATTATTAATATTGCTAAATACATATAACCCATTGTTGATGAATATGCAAGGAAATAGACATGTTCTAATGCCTCTGGTAGGGCTGTAGATTGATACAACCAGAATGGAAAGCAAGTTAACATGTTTTATCTACAGATTAAGAATTGCCTATCTTGGGGCACCTGGGTGGCTCAGTCGTTAAGCGTCTGCCTTTGGCTCAGGTCATGATCTCAGGGTCCTGGGATGGAGCCCTGCATCAGGCTCCCTGCTCAGTGGGGAGCCTGCTTCTCCCTCTCCCACTCCCCCTGCCTGTGTTCCCTCCCTTGCTGTGTCTCTCTGTCAAATAAATAAAATCTTTAAAAAAAAGAAAAAAAGAATTGCCTACCTTTGGCTGAGCAATTCTGCTTCAAGGAGTTTTTCTCAGGAATACTCTTGGACATGTGTAAGGAGTCACCTATTGAAATGTTCACTACAGCATCAATTAAAAAGTTTGAAAGTGCAGGGCGCCTGGGTGGCTCAGTTGGTTGAGCGACTGCCTTCGGCTCAGGTCATGATCCTGGAGTCCCGGGATCGAGTCCCACATCGGGCTTCCTGCTCGGCAGGGAGTCTGCTTCATCCTCTGACCCTATCCCCTCTCAGGTGTTCTCTCTCTCTCATTCTCTCTCTCTCAAATAAATAAATAAAATCTTAAAAAAAAAAAGTTTAAAAGTGCAAACAGTCTAAATATCTAAAGGTAAGGTAATTGATTTCTAAAGTGTAATAAACCTAGAGAATGAAATATACTACATTACCCTGGCACAAAAATGATAAAGAGTAAAAGATGCCCAACGGTATTATTCTAAGTAAAAAAAAGCACATTGCACCCAATTGAAAAATAGGTAAAAGACTTGGAGAGACATTTCTCTGAAGAGGATTTACAAGTGGCCAGTAAGTACATGAAAGTGATGTTGAGCATCATTAG